TACATCGCAGCCAAGCTCAGCCTTGGCTCTCTTGACGAGGGTCTCATCGGAGGTTCGGAGGTTCTCACGAAGGTCCTCGATCCTAAGGTAGAGATTGGACTGCATTTTAAGAGTAGGATCACCCATCCTACTCTGGCGAGTCGAAGAGGCCCTCTGTTTTCTGCTGTACGGGCAGTTTTCCTGTAACGTATTTACTCTTATCCATTTTCACAGGGAATCTAATCAGATTGATCGAAAGCCGTAACCCACAGAGCCCTATCCTCTACTGTTTTTCGTCCCATTCGGGTTTGTATGAGTGGAACTTCGGCTCGGTTGGTTTCAGCTCACGAGGCTGATTCACCGAGTTGGAGAGGGAGCCGAAGTCGCCGCCTTGAGGCTCTAGGACGGGCTTATCCTTGTCCCACTGAGAGCAAAATCTTCCCGCGCTCCACGAAATTGCCTTCTCCCTACTGTAGCGCTTATATCGATGTTCTGGTAATTGGGTTCGTATTCCGTACTCAACGGCTGGTCGGAGCTCAGCTCGACTGGTCTATCGAGCTCTTCGGTAGCAGTCGCGTCCTAGAGAACTACACCTGACCAGGTCCGCCACTTAGTGTCCGGTCTTACCGCTCCTTGTGGGGCTGCTGCAGCAGCAGCAGATCGGAACCTCATGGCCTGGGATAGGATGGCCAAGGTTCCAACAATGATGATGGTGTTGAGAATCATTAGAAGAGATCAATAGTAAGAGTAGTAGCTACAGAGACGGGTACGCGACAGCGAGGATCCAGTCTAACGCAGCGACTTCACGTAAATGTTCACCCAGCACCCGAGATCAGCACATTGATATGAATCACATCCATGTCTGTAAGGATCTGCTCTTCTGGCGGAGGAACGACCTGACATACCCCGAAGTGTCCCTCTACCTCCATGCCCTCCCAGCCTACGTCTTGAGCGGTACTGATGACTTAATTGCCATGGACTCTCCTGCTCCGGCAGGCTTATCCTCTGTAGACGTGGTTGAGTCAGCAGCTTCCGATGCCTTGGCTTTAGCTGCGTTCCCAGTCGTGGACCTGCACACAAGATCTGCTGAGAAGTTGATGGACCCGGTAGATCGGACGATACGGAGAGCATTTTCCTTGATATGGATAGTTGTAGCGAATAAGGGGCAATAGTCGGTGGCATCGACCAATGCTCACCCTTTCATCTCCTTCTCGATCTTCATCTTCTCTGCAGTGGGATCCTCCCAGACAGGTTTGTATGGGCACGGCTTGTAGGTCTTCCGAGACGACGAATCGTATCCTTCCTCACATGGCTGAGAGAACACCATCTTATGACGAGGCAAAGGATAGTTTGGCACAACGGGTGAGTCCTTCCTCTACACCTTAAGACCCTC